AAGTTGATTAATGTTTATTTGTGTTGTTTGCAAGCAAGCAACGTAAATCTACTTTAATGTTTGCACAAATTTTGCCTTTGCATTACTTCTTAGGTCTGCTTTAACAGCATGAAATAGCTACTATTTGTACGATTTATACAAGTGCAAGAAGATTCATCAGTTAACAGGTTAGTTGATCACCATAGTTATCTGCAATACGACTTTAGCGTCGTCAGATAGGCGACTAACCTTAGAATCTCATGCTAGTATCTATTCATATATACTGCTTGCAGAGATGAAATATGCATTGTACACAAAATTTATCATGTGAAACAAGTAGATTTGAGATTCTCCTTACTAAATTGCAACGAATTGCAATTAAGAAAAGGAATAAAACATCAAGATTCATGCATATAAATATACAATCCTCTCAAAACAATGCATATATGGTAGTATGCAAGTGTTTTGTTGATTATTTTACATCTCAACTCTCAGACAGATGTGACCTCGGAAAAGACCCGAAAGCCGCAATGTGCGTTGGAAGCTCAAGTGCTCGGCGTGTCCTGCAATTCGCACCGATTATCGTAGCTAGCTACGTTCTTCATCGATTGGTAATTCGAGTGATCCACCGCTTGAAGATGTATCTTTGCCACCGTGGGACTTTTAATAAGTATCCTAAATCTGCATTGAGAGGGTTTGAAAACAATTGTATGCAGTTTATAAAAACCATAGTTGTCTTTACTTAGTTAGGCGAAGAAGTGTAAAACTTCCTTCTTTAAACCTTGCCGTCAGCATAAGCTGAAGACTTGATCAGGTACCAAGTATGTAGCAAGACAGGCTTTTCATTATAAACTACAATTGTTTTGCAAAAGAAATTATGGCTATCGTTAGATAACCCTCACTCTTTGTTGCATTGGATAATGAAAGATGGATGTATGAATGAACGAATGTAATGCAAGTTAGAATCATGTTGCAATGGCTAAATGTTTGCATTAAACATTCACAATTGCGACTCTAATGCAAATACAATTCAATTGCATTCACCATATTAGCATCTACAATATCACTATGCAGAGTGTTTGATTGTTTGAAGGTTGTATTTCTCTTATAATAAGAGGGTAATACGTTAATGATCCTTCCGCAGGTTCACCTACGGAAACCTTGTTACGACTTTTACTTCCTCTAAATGATCAAGTTTGAACATCTTTCCAGCACAATCCGACCACTAGTTTCCCAATGGTCTGGATTGACCAGTCCGAAGTCCTCACTAAATCATTCAATCGGTAGTAGCGACGGGCGGTGTGTACAAAGGGCAGGGACGTAATCAACGCAAGCTAATGACTCACGCTTACTGGGAATTCCTCGTTCATGGGCAATAATTACAATGCCCAATCCCCATCACGAAATGGGTTCAAGCGGTTACCCACTCCTTTCGGAGCAGGAAACAGTATGCACGATGACCACTTCAGTGTAGCACGCGTGCGGCCCCGGACATCTAAGGGCATCACAGACCTGTTATTGCTCTGTTTCGTGCGGCTGCGAGCGCCGCTTGTCCCTCTAAGAAGTCCTTACAGTGCTACAGCATCCTTACCCTAGCCAATTCTGTAGGCTAATAGCAGCAGAGCCCTCAACAGCCGAAACCATCAAGAGATACTACCACCCACAGGTGACTAAGGGGGAGTACTGCAGTGTAAACTGCAAGTCTATTTAGTAGGCTAGAGTCTCGTTCGTTATCGGAATTAACCAGACAAATCACTCCACCAACTAAGAACGGCCATGCACCACCACCCACTGAATCAAGAAAGAGCTCTCAATCTGTCAATCCTCTCAGTGTCCGGGCCGGGTGAGTTTTCCCGTGTTGAGTCAAATTAAGCCGCAAGCTCCACTCCTGGTGGTGCCCTTCCGTCAATTCCTTTAAGTTTCAGCTTTGCAACCATACTTCCCCCGGAACCCAAAAACTTTGGTTTCCCGGAAGCTTCCATTCGAGTCATGAAATTAGTTACTCAGAATGATCGCTGGTTGGCATCGTTTATGGTTAGAACTAGGGCGGTATCTGATCGCCTTCGAACCTCTAACTTTCGTTCTTGATTAATGAAAACATTCTTGGCAAATGCTTTCGCTGTAGTTTGTCTTGCGACGGTCCAAGAATTTCACCTCTAGCGCCGCAATACAAATGCCCCCGTCTGTCCCTCTTAATCATTACCTTGGATTCTTAAGACCAACAAAATAGAACCAAGGTCCTATTCCATTATTCCATGCAAGATCATTCAAGTTAAGGTAGTGGTACGCATCATATAGATGGTTGACCATACCGTTTTTAGGCACCTCTTTCGAGGTTTTGGACGCCTGCTTTGAGCACTCTGATTTTTTCAAGGTAAAAGTCTCGATCGCTTGAATCAACACTCGGTAAAGAGCATTGATAGCAAATATCGAGCAATTTTCTGTCTAAACACTATGAATGTAACCACCAGGAAAGAGGAATGAAGGTTCAAGCAAGCATCCGTAGACACAAGCAAGAAACCTAACATCACCATCTAACCCTTTAATCAGTGGACCCCATAGGTTCGACTGAAATCCAACTACGAGCTTTTTAACCGCAGCAACTTTAATATACGCTATTGGAGCTGGAATTACCGCGGCTGCTGGCACCAGACTTGCCCTCCAATAGATCCTCGTTAAAGGATTTAAATTGTACTCATTCCAATTACGGGGCCTCAATAGAGTCCCGTATTGTTTTTTTCGTCACTACATCCCCGTACTGGGATTGTGTAATTTGCGCGCCTGCTGCCTTCCTTAGATGTGGTAGCCGTTTCTCAGGCTCCCTCTCCGGAATCGAACCCTAATTCCCCGTTACCCGTTACAACCATGGTAGGCGCATAACCTACCATCGACAGTTGATAAGGCAGTTGCTTGAGGGATACATCGTCGGCTCAGAGGCCATACGATTTGCTCAGTTATTCAGAGTCATCACAAGAAATGCAACCGAAGTTGCTAAGATCCCCACTGCTAGTCCTTAGACAGCGACCGAAATCACTGAACAGGTTCCTGTGTCTTGGCTCAGGTATTACCCGATGAACTCTTAGTATCCGCCAGCTAGAGACCCAGTAATGATCAATAGCCTAGTGGGGACATAGCACCCTCCCACCACGGTGAGGTGGTCCATCGCGGGAGGGCACTGATTTAATGAGCCATTCGCGGTTTCACTTTATAAACAGTATGTACTTAGACATGCATGGCTTAATCTTTGAGACAGCATATGACTACTGGCAGGATCAACCAGGTAACTTGATGTTTTAGCAAAGTAAAATGCTAAACAAGTTGTTTTGCAGCTATAAATACGATATCCTCAGCTAACAACCAGCAAGTGGATGCTAACTTTAACGAGGTATCGAGATTTATGTCGTGCATTAAGATAATTCTGCAGAAAACTCTTTAGAATACATCTTCTTCCACTAAAATGTGCAAGCACATCTAGCAGGAGTAACCATTGCTGGGTACGTTTGCAAGTCAACTAAACAGCATAGTATTATAACCGCTTGATACCAATTTCTTGGATCAATCTGCGGTCTGCTTTGTACAAGCAGAGCTCAATACTAATACTGCTCACTCTGTTGAGTGACTAGTTTGAACATATATGCAAGATATGAAGTCTGATAGCATTAAAGCCCAACTCTCATAGATATTGTCAGTCGTACCAAGGAAGACCTTAGGTCTTGCAGGTACTCTACCTTTGTATAATAGTGTGTGGTGATAAGATGATTGACGATCCAAACCCATTCAGGCCCGTCTCTTCAACCACCAAACATCAACAGAATAACAGGAATAGATGCGTGA